TGCAAATTGCGCGCCATGACAAGAAAGCGTTAATGCAGAATACAAACGTAAAGAGTGAATAGTTGTTACACGATTTCATCAATGTCCACATAAACATCAAGCAGTAAGGACCTAAGCCCACAAATAGTTTATATTCTGGAAACGCGAAGAGGCTTTGAAATAGTGACAAGACAGAATCTAGGTTGGATACAAATAGGCTGTCTATTCCATTTCCTGAAAACTTCCTTGCGTTACAAAAGCAGTAAAAATATTATTTGGGGACGAATATAAAAAAACACGAAAACTAATGTTCCCTTCACCTTTCCTTTTGCGAAGTGTGTATTCTTACAAAAATCGGAAGCAGGCTGCCTAGGTGGTACAGAAATGTTGCTTGGATGCTAACCTAAAGGACGCGGGCTCTATAGCGGCCTCGCATTTATATGTAGAGGCGAAACGGTGAAGGCCCGTGTGCTGAGCGATGTCAGGCCACGTTAAGGAACACGGTGTGGTCGAAATTTCCGGAGCCTCCACAACAGCGTTGTCCTGTTCTGAGTTGTGCCAAAATCTCGATTATCATATCGTGGTTTTGGCACAACTGTCGTTGTGTCATGAAATCCGGCTGCTGGGATCTGTTTTGTCGAGTTGGAGGGTGATTACTGACAGTGTTAGAAATGTCTTTAGAGATGGTGTTGTCCAATTTAGTTCCTCAAAACGTGAGCAAATTACTCGGCTGCACTTGATGCACGTTATTTAGATGACTTGTTTCTCTGCTGTGAAATTCGCAATTTTTTTATATGGGTCACGTTTGAGAACTTTGGTCAAAGTTAATGAACGCTTGTTGTATATAGAACAGTGGTTTATAGCGCGTTTGGATTACCTCAAGCGGCAACAGTACAGTGGGAGCGGTCCACACGAGGCAATCACACGGATGATCTTCACGGCCTTTAAGTCAACTACATGCGAAATGCTCGGGCAGTAGAATTGGAAGAACATGTTCCTATGTATTCTTAGTAGCCAATCGGGGAAAAGCCCTAGCTACACACGCTTGCCTTTCTTTTACAGCGAAAGCTGTCATGAGACTGCAAACAAGGCGATAGTTATAGCGCGAGAACAAAACGACGACACAGAGACAAGAAGGACACGAAGGGTGGTCGTTTTGTTTTTGCGCTATAACTATCGTCATGCCATACCAACTAGCCCAAGCACTACAAGACAAGCGTCGCGTGCACTGCAGTGTAGTTGTCCGCCGTCGCCACCGGTGTCCGAAAACACTATCGGGCGAAATAAGAGAAAAAAAAGAACTGAGTGAATAAAGAAAACCAAGGACACGACGCTAATTGTAACCCGAGTCCCCTGTTTGCCAACCCAGTATGCTATCACTGAGCCACGTCAGTGATTTTAACTTCGTTGCAAGGTGACTGTAGGCAGACTTCGTGTTGGGAAAGGAATCGCATTAATATAAGTTTTGAACAGCTAAGGAACAACCGGGTGTCACAGAATGCGAATTGCGTAACGAGTGCGTTGTCGAATGCTGCAACTCATTACAGAAGCTTCAGGCATAATTCTTCTTCCACAGCACCACCATCAAATATTATACTACAATTCATTGTGTAGCGGGTGCAATGTTTCTCCGAAGAATGACGAAAGATGACAGTGTGAAGGTCTTCCTATACAACGCACGAATTATGATGATTTATTGCGTACTGGGTACCCTGCAAGTGTCCTTGAAGCGACTATCCAAGGAATGTTTTAAAAAACGGCCTAGAAAGACCTTCTTTCAGCTTTCGCTGTGGCCCCGCCACGGTGGTCTAGTGGCTAAGGTACTCGGCTGCTGACCCGCAGGTCGCGGGTTCAAATCCCGGCTGCGGCGGCTGCATTTCCGATGGAGGCGGAAATGTTGTAGGCCCGTGTGCTCAGATTTTAGTGCACGTTAAAGAACCCCAGGTGGTCGAAATTTCCGGAGCCCTCCACTACGGCGTCTCTCATAATCAAATGGCGGTTTTCAGACGCTAAACCCGACAAATCAATCAATCAGCTTTCGCTGTGACTATGCTGCGCGTTTTGCAGTAGGCCTGGCGGTTTTCTCTTATAATGTTCCGTCTTTATACCTTATCATGACGTAAATTACATCATACATGAGTCATGCCAGACAAATAACAGCCTTCACCACGCAGAATGAATATGAGTGCATCAACAAGGTGGTAAAGGCCTTTCACGTAGTAGCAAGGTCAAATACACAGAACCACAGGTGTTTTTTATCTAAAGTCTGTCAGACCTTGTGCACACGAAACGCATTGAGATTTCAGACGCACAGTACGTACTTCACTGTAGGCACAAAATTATAACCTGTACGCTCTTTATTTTGCATTTCTATTCGGCTGTTCCCCCTTCGTTGAGTTCAGGATAAACAACCCTTGAGACCTCGACATACAGCGAGAATGTCACAGCTTAAGGTGAAAAAGAAAAAAAAAAAGGTATTGCTAGCTGCATATACCGACACTGTCATTATTGTACGTATTGCTCTCCGTACACTTTCGTTATTAAGTAGGTATCGAAACGTAAAGAAGCTACGAGTATGGCGTCTGCGTTCAGCTGCTCTTGCACAGCTGATTAGTCGAGATCAATGTTGAGCCAACGGAACGAAAAATCGCCGTGTCATTGAACGCAGTTATTTGACGTACGTCTCCTTAACCAGAAAATGATGCAAATTGAAATGCGCATAGTCGCTCAGCACAGCACGTTCATTTTTTTAAGAGGGCGAAGCTCCTTATGCCGTGGGTCGTGCGTCCGCCATGTATGTATACTAGTAGTGCGTCGTAGTAGTAGGTAGCCGCCTCCACGGCCGGACTACAGCAGTGGCACGCACGCACTCGTTTAAATTGAGGAAGAAACGCGCGTACATTAATCATAAATAAAAAGATAGTTGTTTCTGGTGAAATAACCTACAAATACGAGTATCGGCGACTCTATCTTCAATAAAATTTGCCTTTCACTTGATGCTTACTAAACAAAAATAGTCTCAGAATGACGCAATTTCAGCACTATCTGACCAGAAAGGGTTGCCACGTTAAACTCGCTGGGCGTACTCTCCTTGGTCTTAGCAAGGGTTAGCGAGGGTTGGGCCGCAGTGCAATGAATGAGAGGCGGTGAAAGGTGGGAACTAGACACGAAGCGCAGGCCGTAAGAAAGTGCGCGCGGGCCGCTCCTCTAGTCCGGATGTGCCACCTCTCGTTTGGTTCTTCGAATGTCCGCTGGATGGCGGTACTTCTATATGATGAATATATGATGAAAAGATGCGAGATTGGTGTACTTGGAGTGTTCACTAGATGGACGGACGGATGGAAAGACGCACGGACGGAGAGACAGGTGGATTCACGGACGCAGAACGGACGCACAGACGGACTGAAGCGCGGACGGACTGATGGATGCTTCGCCCCACTTATCATCATGCACTCCGTGGATATGCTGTGATTTTTTTCTTATTATTTCGTGCGGTTAGCGTTATAAACACCCCTTTCAAAAGGAAGCGCTCAGCGAATGTGCTTCGCGGCGAATTCTAGGAGGTCATGATGCGTGAAAATGCGGCTTGGTGCGTACGTTTCATTGTAGGGGCAGTCTTTTTTTTTTTTTCTAATGCGAAGCATTTCTCTACGTACTGCATGCACTTTTGGCATCTATCTACGTGTCTATCTAATCTGTCTAGCCGTCTACGTCTGGGTGCTCTCGTGATCCCCCGTAACTTAGCGTGAATAAAAATTAGTATGGGACCGTAAGATGATTTCACGAATCTGCCACGCTGGTCAAAACATGAATAATGCCTCAATTAATCCCGTAGCGTACGTCATCAAACGTTGCTTTCCGCCAGACTGTAGCACATATACCAACAGGCGGGTATGTGTCACTGGTATGCGGGTATGTGCCACAGGTTATTGACACCCAGGAATGGCGAGAACGCGCACAGGTAATTTTAAACGCGTGAGCGTTAAGAATAAGCTGACATCGGCAGTTGACCTGATGAATGCAAAAAATAACTGTCAGGTTCCCAGCAGGAATCGAACCCCACCATCATCCCTGCCAATGAAGTTTCCTACTTCAGAGCCATGCCAGGTCTCAGAATTACGTTTCAAGGAGACCCTAATGCCCGTGAAACGTCAACTGTGGTTTCACTGCTGGCTATACAATTTTATATACATTACGTACGTCCTCCTATGATACAGCCGTCTCGTCGGGTTAACGTCAATTGTATTTAGGTGCCATGCGCTCGACTTGATTTATGTAGCAGTGTAGCAGCGTAGCAGCACCACTACTTCATATAAGCATATCACTTCTGGCGTTGCTAATACTGATGTTTCTGCTGGTATCGTTGCGCCAGTGCAAACAACTGGTTATAAAAGCATCGGCATCTGTTTTAGCGTCATTTCATAACGTGTCGCTCAATAAAAAAATACAACACGGCCACGTTTCCTCTGCATGCTTTGCATTACGTCGATCCGGAAGGTACGTGGTGTCTGCCGATATTTTTTTGTTTAAAGAAATGTGGCAAACGTGAGGAAGCTTAGTAGAATTCCTGGCTTGGTGAGTCAGTTCACGGTCTTCAAATGAAGTCAGAGCGCAGAAAAAACGAGACAAGCAAGACATGAATGCGGGGCGAGCACTCACTACCGACTGATAATTACGAAAGACTGGTCATTACGAAGACATTACACCCTCAGAACGTGATAGGCACGCCTGCCCACACATCTTGTCTTTCATGCTTTGCACTCTGCTTTTGTTGTTATGTCGTCTTTGAAGGTCGCAGAAGCAGCGAAGCAGGAAATGCGGCGGACACATTTACGCATCTTAGTAACGAATGCAGTAGGCGTATATCTCCTAATAAGTACAGTTGACAAGTTCGTCGCACAGACGTGCACACATGTAAGGTGACAGATGGCGTAGCTGAAAGATTGGGCATCAGTCCGCGCGATAGCTGTAGTACAGTCAGAGAAGAACAAAGGGAGTGCTTCAGGAAAAAGCCGGCTCACCTATCGTCTTGATCATCTCGAAGTCTTCGAGCACTGGCCTCTTTCGGTAGGACGAACCGCTGGCGTCGCCCTTGGCCCCGGCAGCGGCGGCGCCATCCGAATCGTTGCCCGAGTCTTCCCTCGACGGGCTAGGAGCCCGCACCTTGCCTTTGGAGACCACCATGCCGCCGGAACCGTTCGATGGAAGCACGCGGGGACTGGACGCCATACAACGTCACACGAGCAGGATGGTTGCGCCGAGTCGTCAGACACGACGACGAACACTCAGGGTCTCAGCTGTCGTCACTCCTGCGTACTCCCGGTCTACTATCCTTCAAGAAAATTTGCCTCAAAAGCACCGCACGCACTTTCGGCACAGAAGCTTTTCTCCGCACTCGGAGACGTGGAAGAAGCCGTTGTAGTCACACCTGCTCAATCACAACACCGTGGCTGAACACATCACTCGCGAAGATTCAGTTGGAACAGGTCGAGCAGCGTCTCAAAACCATCTCCCGGGAGAGAGAAGGAAGGAACGGGCACTACAGGTGTTGGAACCTTTGTCTTAGCGCGCTGTCAGTCACAAACGGCGTTACCAGTAAGACCTAGCCCGCGCCCGAAAACCAGCACCGTAAGAATCTTGGGCCGACCGATCTTCGTACAAACCACGCCGCCCAATGTGCGTGGGGAGTTCGCTCACCTGGCGCAACACCAGTAAACGCGAGCGCCAACCGAGGCGGGTCAATGCATTTGTGAGTCGAGTGGATCACCGGAGGGGGACCGTCGCTTCAATTCGGCAAACGTTGCGCGTCAACGGAGAAGCGGAGGTCGACAACGAGCCCGCGGCGTCGTCTGCTCGGTGAACCACACAGGGAGGAGCACCCACACTAGAGCCCGCTGTCGGACCAGCACGCGCGCGGCTTTTGTGGCGTGAAGAGCGGCGCGGCTTTTTCGACGACTCCAAGCCGAGACCTCGCGGGCCGACTCCGCGCAGCGACCGGTGCAAGCAGGCTTTACCTCCTCGCTCGCCGCGCTTTTCGAGCGTAGCGTCGAGCCAGCGTCGTCGCCGCTCGCTTCGCACAAAAGGCCGGGCGATGGCGCTGGCGGCGTCGGCGGAAGAGCAGAGGAACCACCGCCGATCAAGCAGCAGGAGGAGCTTGCTGCAAGCCGGTTTGCGTTGAGAGAAGGGGAAGTGGCAGCCAGGTTAGATCTTTCCCAGTCTACCTTGCGTTTTTTTTGTTTCTTTTCTTCTTGTTGGCGGGCGCGAGTAGTGGGGAATAAACGGGCCGGTGGAAGCTGACCCCCACCGCTCTATTTCATGCTTTCACCAAAGGTCCTCCTCTATCTTTCTCCCTTTCTCTCTGCTGGTTCCATCCTGTCCAGATTAGGTACATCTTCCACTCTCCTTTTCCTCCACGACGCAGAGAGATTGAGGGACAAGCGTGCGACGAGTTGAGTGCGCACTGTGGTTGCGCAGCCCTACCTGCTCGCGTTTCCTGATGCGGCTTTTTTCCCCCTCTTTCATTGCTTTTTAGAGTAAGTCAGTTGATTGCTTCTATAGGAGACACAGTTCTTGGAAAACTTGAGCTATAGTTATAACAATGGCATTTTTAGGCAAAGTATTTCGTTGCGAACTGCAAGCAGCTTCGTATCTATCTATCTATCTATCTATCTATCTATCTATCTATCTATCTATCTATCTATCTATCTATCTATCTATCTATCTATCTATCTATCTATCTATCTATCTATCTATCCGATTACGCGTCAGGGTGCTCTCGCAATGAGCATGGAAGGGTAATATTGTTTGATGAATATGACTCGCTGCTTATGACATTAATGATGCACTATCCCGTCGAGTACATTATGAAACCCCTTCTGCCATACGTGTGGCACGTACCCGCGGGTGGTTATGCGCCACAGGCGATTGACAGTTTATGTATACCCAGGAACGGTGAGATCAGACTTGGGTAATTTTAACACGCGAGTGTGTTTAGAGAAAGTGGTTAACGATTTAGGGTACTTGGTACTCTACTATGGGAGAGCTGGAAGCCGTCCCGAGGGAGAATCAATCACAGGAGTGGTAGTGTGTAGCTACTTCCCCCATCGTGCATAGACGAGTGTTAAGGAAGTACTGACATTAACAGCGTTGACCCGGCTAATGCAAGGATTGATGTCAGGGTCCTAGTGGGAATCAAACCCATGTCTCGGAACTGCTTTTCAAATAATCGTGAAACGTCAATTGTGGTTGCACCGCTGGCTAAACAATTTTATAAACATTACATATGTTCTCGTATGATACAGCCGTCAAGTCGGGTTAACGTAATTTGTATTAAGGCCCATCCACTGAAGTTGACTTTCCTCCGCATCCTTCATATAACGTCGATCTACAAAGTACGTGGGATCTGCCAATTTTTTTTTAATGCAAAGCATTTCTTGGCGAACTTCGGCGACTTTGAGCGTATCTATCTATCTATCTATCTATCTATCTATCTATCTATCTATCTATCTATCTATCTATCTATCTATCTATCTATCTATCTATCTATCTATCTATCTATCTATCTATCTATCTATCTATCTATCTACTATCTATCTATCTATCTATCTATCTATCTATCTATCTATCTATCTATCTATCTATCTATCTATCTATCTATCTATCTATCAAGCCACCTACGACTTTTAGCTCTCCAGGCCGTTTCGATAATGGTATCGATACGAAACTTGGTATGATATAATATCACTGTATAAAGAACATATTTGATTAGTCAAAACATGAAAATCATCACATGTCACGAATGTCATGATTTACATTTCATGGTCCTGCTGTTCTTGCGGTGGTTTCGTTCACATGGCATGTTGCAAAACTGTATGGTATGGCATGATTGCATGGCGAACACAAGCGACAAACCCTAACATGAAAATCACGATATGCGAGTCATGTAACAACGTGACTACACGCCACACTCATGATGCGCTCGCGGCCGCTTCGCTAGCTGCACATATGCCAAATTTGGTATTACGTGACGCCAATGAATTTCGATGCGCGTGCTCGCCGGTGTTCATTTCGTCGCGTCACGCCGGCGTTGCCACGCCAGGCGCCGGTCCTGCCGTACACTCGCAGGCGCGCGGCGCTGCGTTGCTTTGACGCATGCGCGTTTCCGCGCGTCCCTCCGTCACGAAAAGAGGGAGACGCAGTGTTGTCTGGGTAACGCATCGGAATAGAGTAATGTTACTCTACGGCATCGGCGCGAAATGCAGCATGTCGCATTTCGCGCCGGTTGCCAGTCGGTCCGCGCCGACGGACGCTATAGCCGTGCCTGGCGTCAGACTATAAAGTGCTCGCGTTTTGCTAACGTAGCGTCGCTGTGCCCAGCGTGCGCGCGCGTCGACGCTACATTGAGATATATTGGGCCCTTCATGATGCGCTCGCGGCGTTTGCTAGCTCCACGTATACCAAATTTGGGCGTTATGTTACGTCAATGGATGACGAAAGTATATGACTGGTGCAAACGTGATAATCCTGACACGCGTGTCATGTAAAAACATGACAACATACCACGCTCATAGCGTGCTCGTGGCCGTTTCGCTAGCTCCACATATACTACATTTTGTATCACGTGGCCTGAATAGATGACGAAGGTAAATGACACATCCAAACATAATAATCACGACACGCAAGTCATGTGCGGCATCATTTACCTCCACCTCGTAACGTTGTGCTGATTTTAAAGTGACATATCATCATTTCTTCTTCATGCTTCGCATATCATCGATTTCCACTGTACGTAGGATCTGCCAATTTTGTCTTCTTTTTGTTACTTCATGACGCTGCAAAGCGATGGATGCTGTGGCATATCGGGAGCTATAACTTAGTTGTAAGGCTTTTTTAATATACAGAAAGTGTTTTGAAAGATTGACGCGAGCGATTGGAAAGTATCCACAACATACCGAAAAAATGCCGCCACATCCACGAAGTGAATGATGATGAGTGGGCGAAGCTCCGGAGCTAAACCTGGTAAACCATGAATCCTTCGTACATTTTGCCCACTCGATTTTATTGCAACGCTCCCCCTAGCGTACGTCGCCGCACTATACCGAACGATGACACGCGCCATATGTGGCATCATTCCTATTTTATAACACCTCGCATCTTTCATAATCAACTACACGTACCGCCGTCTAGTTTATAACATCTTGCATCTTTTGGACGGACGGACGGACGGACGGACGGACGGACGGATGGACGGACGGATGGATGGACGGATGGATGGACGGACGGACGGATGGACGGATGGATGGATGGACGGACGGACGGACGGACGGATGGATGGACGGATGGATGGACGGACGGACGGATGGACGGATGGATGGATGGACGGATGGATGGACGGACGGACGGACGGACGGATGGATGGATGGATGGATGGATGGATGGATGGATGGATGGATGGATGGATGGATGGACGGACGGATGGACGGATGGACGGATGGATATGGCTGTACCCTTTAGATCGGGCGGTGGCTAGCGTAATACTACGCTAGCCACTATATGTAGCCACTGTATGTAGTCCCCTGTATGTAGCCACGAGAGGTGGCTACATACAGGGGACGCACAGCCCACGCCTTAAGGAGCTTCGCTCCTAAAACTCTCTTCGGAGACTGCAAACCTCGATGAAAGCAAAGCAGATCTTTACCTGGCTTTTTTTAGGGGCGAAGCTCCTCTTACCCACGTATTCAGAAACGCTACCTGACTTGAACTTGACTTGCCACCGACTTCAATGCAGCACAAACGCGTTTCGAACACGCTACCTTTGGGCAGTTCCAAGGAAGCACAAACGCACAGAGGCGTTTCCAAGGCGCTGCATTGGAGGCGATTTCAAGTCAAATTCAAGTCAAGGAGCGTTTATGAACGGGGGTTAGTCTAACTCTGCCGTGCGTCAGGCGTAAGCGTAGTATCTCCCGAACAATGTAATAGATGGCACTTGTCTCATCATAATTTGTCGTTTCATTTCCTCGAGAAACACGTTAGTCAGATGAGCCTCCGTCTCTCACCTTCTAAATCAGAGTTCCTATATCGTCCCACTATCCTATATCGTCCCACTAGAAGGGTACCGAAGCCTAGAGGGTGGACGCCTCCCGAGGAGGCAGATATTAGGGTACGAACTTCATCCGTGTGCGAGATCCCCAGAGTTCGTTCGCTCCGGGTGCTAGGCATGATTATTGAAGCTAACGGTCAGCATGGGCGTACTATAGATAAGCTTACAGGACATGCTGAATGAGTACTCAGACTCATTGCAAGGGTTTCCAATAAAAAAGATGGGCTTAGCGAAGATAATATACTCAGGTTATTTCACGCGTTCCTCATGAGCCATGTAAATTATGTCACTCCCATGCACAGATGGCAGAAACACAAGATTAACAAGCTGAACACGCTAATCAGGAAGTGTATTAAGAGAGTCCTTGGACTCCCAATGCACACACGCACAGAAAGCCTAGCAAGACTTGGCATACACAACACATTGGAAGAAGTGATTGAAGCTCAGCAGACCGCACATATTTCCAGACTCTCGTCTACGACGGCTGGAAGGGGAATCCTGACTAAGGTCGGGCTCAGTCCGACGATTTTAAAGGACAGGACCACTCAGCTTTCGGACAGTGTGCGACAGGCTATTACAATCTGCCCTATTCCAAGGAATGTGCCTCCAACTTTCAACGCTGGCAGGAGGACGGCTCGTGCCTCCACACTTCTGCGGTACGCGCATGCGCATGAGGCAGAGTCGTGTTTTGTAGACGCTGCCCAGTACGAAGGTGACTCCAATCGCTTTGTTGCTAACGTTGTGGACCTAAAGGGACGCGTATTATCAGCCGCGTCAATCAGCACGTCGTCGGCTTGTAAGGCAGAGCAACTGGCCATTGCACTGGCAATCCTCAGGTCGGACAGAGAAGAGATATTTACGGACTCGAGATAGCCCTTCGAGCTTTCTCAACTGGGGCTGTTTGTGAGGAAGTTGCTAGGGCACTTGAAGGTAAGGTGCTGACTCATCACGTCATTGCATGGTTCCCGGCGCACGAAGGCGCCGAGGTAGCGGG